TTCACAATCACCATTTAAAGTAGGTATCATTTCCAAATTTTATAGTTAAAGAAGCAGACTTACAAATGTTAAATAATTTACCTAAGGTCACATAGGTCATGACTGCAGAGTGGAGCAGTTGATGTCAGGCTGAGTACTTCATGGCTTTAATTGATGTCCTGTTTATTTCTCAGAGATTATAGGGGCTAATCCCAATACTGCTTACTTCAGACACTGTCAGGGTGTAAAACATCATGGCCATCCATTGCACCTCACATGGCTCTGAACATCCATCCCTCCTGCCCCAAGGGTGGCTCAGCAGGGTTAGAATGGTTGGAGTTGCTGGACCACCACTGGGGTGAGAAGAAGCTGCCATATCTGTTTACTTTAAGTTGACATATACATATGCTCATTTTCTAAATGGGCTGTGACAAGAAAAAGTTGGAAAGCTCTACTTGAATCTAATCCTCCACCTTCCCCTCTTTCTCAAAACCCTCTGGAAATCCTAATCCATGATCAGCAAACTCCCCTATATGTAGGCCACTTTCAGGCAAACAGGCTTGAGCAATGGAACGTGGAAAGGGCCCACAACTGCCACCTGACTGAGTACAGACAGGAGGAGACTCACCTCAAAATATCCAGAGGCCCTAACTAACCAATGGGCTACTTACAACTAGGCACAGTTACCAAAAAACGTAAAATTCCGTAAATTGCCATGCTTCCTCACCTTCCCTCCTTAAAAGCAGCCCCCTCCCACTGCCTTGTTGCAGACAGCCTCTCTGCTGTCTTGCTCACCCACTACCTTGCTACCTTGTGGTGTATTCAATAAACTTCTATCTCCTTTTTTCTGCCTCAGTGAATTCTTTCACCTCCTATGCAACCTGCTTGCTTCCACCCAATCATTGCCCCACATTTGGAGACCGTCATCTAATTGAGAGACACACCATTTAGACACCACACCCTAGACCTTCAATCTGTCTTTGGAAAGTCACAGATGTAAAACCTGGCATCTCCTAAAGACAAGGCTTACCTGTAACCCTGAAGTCACTATAAAACGACCCACCCTGGGGTGCCTGGGTGGCTCAGTCAATTAGGCATCCGACTTCAGTTCAGATCATGAGCTCACAGTTTGTGAATTCAAGCCCCGTGTTGGGCTCTGCGCTTACAGCTCAAAGCACAGAGCCTGCTTCAGGTTCTGTGTCTCCCTCTCTCTCTGCCCCACCTCTGCTTGTGCTCTTCTCTCAAAAATGAATAAACATTAAAAAAAAAATTTTAATATAATAAAAAATAAAATAAATAAAAATAAATAAAATAAAATAACCCATCCTGAGAAGTAGACTAGGATTGCAGCAAAGATGTGCCCTCATTCTCTCCCCTGCCCCCAGCATAGCTTTTCCAGTTTTCCTCAAGAGCAAACTCTGCTGTTTTGGACCAATCTCAGATTCTGACTCAAACCATGCTTGTTAACATCCTGTTAGTAAAACCTAAATTATGGTCACTTCTAACAACTAGAAATGTGTTCACAGAGCTGAGAAGTTGAAAGCCTCATATGAGGTAAGTCAGAAACCATCAAGACTCCCACAGCTGTGGCTTCATCATCCCACTCCATTCACACTGGCCTTGGTTGTTTTACTAATCATGTTGTTGTTGTTGTTGTTTTCTGTATTTTATTAAGCTTTGACATCTTTGAAGACTAGGGTGGAATGGCCCCTCTCAGGATTAGGCAAACGACTAAACACACATTTCATATGCAAATCAACCAATCCAAAGTCAGCATCTCCAGCCATCTCTTTTATCTAACTCACACACCAAGCCAATATTCCCCCTTTCCTAAATCAGCCCAAAGTTAGGTACCAGACTACTAGGGGTCCACTCCCATAGCCTGGAGCCCTGCTATAATTATTCAAACTAGTCAATCCTCAACTTCTTACCTAGCCCCACCTATTCCTTCCAGTGTTGACTACAATAAAGGCTCTGGGCCATGCTCTTGGCTGTTCTTTCTGCCTCCTGACCAACCCTGGTACTTTCCCTGTGTACTGTGGTTCTGCATGGCATGGCATAACCCTTCCTCTTGGGAAGTGTGCATAATAAAACTCTCAATGGCTCTGAACTCTTATCAGCATTCAGTCACCTCTATAAATCCCAGGTACAATCAAAACAGTTGTCACTTCTTACTATAGCAGTTAACACATACTGTATGATATTATGCATACGATAGATAATTTCACCTTTAGAGTTTAATCTCCCTGAGAACAAGAGCCATAGTTTACTAATCTCTGTACTATGGGTTTGCATGCCCGAGAACATACACAATCAGTGTTTACTCAAATGAAGAATCTGCCAAACAGTGGCCAATTTGTCCCTTGGCAAAGCCATTTCCCTGGGATTGTTGTTCTCTCATAGCAACAATACACAAAACATGTTGGGAAGTGGGTCTCATTATCCACAGGGAAGAAATAAACGCCAGCCCGAAATACAAGGCATCACATGCACTGTCAAGTTCCAACAAGGAGTCCAGGCCTGGGCCATTACTGAAAGCACTTACACAAGGACAAAGCAGAAAAAGGGCTATTCAGACACTCAGTGCCATAGCTCAGGACTCTGCCTCAGTGGCACAGAAAACAAATCATGGTAGCATTCACTGGAGAATAAATCTAAATTGTTTTCAGGGGCGCCTGGGTGACTCAGTCAGTTAAGCATCCAACTCCTGGCTTCAGCTCAGGTCATGATCTCACAGTTTCATGAGTTCAAGCCCCGTGCAGAGCCTGGTTGGGACTCTCTCTCCCCCTCTCTCTGCCCCTCCCCCACTCATTCTGTCTCTGTCTCTCTCAAAATAAATAAATAAATAAATAAATAAATAAATAAATAAATAAATAAAAATAAATATTTTTGAGCATCTAATTAGATGGGAGCAAGGGGAGGGGGACTGTATTTTGCTCCATTGTGTTAAATATATATGCTTGAATTCTGGGATTTTGACTAAAATGTCCTCTATACCTTGGGATTTCTAGTGAATAACTCAGGCTATGGAAATTTGGATAAGTAGAAACTTTCTTTAAGATTAATAAGTAATGTACAGTCCTTGGTTTTTAGGTTGGTCATCTGGTACTGACAAAAGGACATGGATGTGCAGTCTGAGGACTGGTGTTCAAGTATGGACTCTGTCATTAACTAGCTGTGTGACCCTGATAAAACGTTCACTTCTCCCAGTCTGTTTCTTTACTGTCCAATAAGAAAGAATCCTTCATAGGAAAACCACTCTGAGGATTTAATGTTATAATGTATGTTAAAGGTGCTTCATAAACTATAAAACACTGCATAAACATCAATCATCTATTACACTATAGAGGAGTCAGGCATGAAGGCTGCCACTAGCTAATGCTCAATATTTACAGTATAAATAAGTATCTCTTGCTGGTCAGCTGTGTGATCTCAGGCAAGAAACCTGTCTCTTTCTTTTTTTCTTTTTGCCTCCTCTGATATTACTTCTCCCTTGTTCACTGGGCTCCAGCCACAGTGTTCTTTTTCCTATTCCTTCCAACAGAGCAAGTTCACTCCTGCCATAGGGGCTTTGTACCTCCTGTTCCCTCTCCCTGGAACATTCTTCACCAGTTCTTTACATGGCCTCCCACTTCTCATCAATCAGGCTTAGGTAAAATGTCATTTCTTTAGAGGCTTTCTCTGACCACCCTGACTAATGTTCCTTGCACATCATTCACCCAATATATATTCGTTTTATGTTCTTAGTACTTATTACAATCTGTTGACTTATTACACTCTCCTCCAGTAGAATAAAAAACACAATACCAGAGATTCCCTTTCTGTCTTGTTCACCATTGTATTCCAATGCTCAAAACAACATCTAACTCATAATTAAACTCTCAATAAGCATTTGAATAAATGAAGTTGAAATAAGGTAATTATATCAAAAATTTCACTGACAGATATTTTATATGTACCTATGAGAACCCAGGCTCTATTTCAAGGTGCTGGAGTTCCATCTGAGAACAAAATAGACAAAAATCTCTACTTTCTAGGGGTGTGCCTACTAGTGGGGAAACAAACAAAAAAGATAAAAAGTAAAATCATACTATGTCTGATAATGTTAAGTGTTAAGAAGGAAAAAATAATAAAGCAGGAAAGAAGAACATGACATGTGTGTTTTAGATAGGGTAGCCAGAGAAAGAAGTGAAAGACTGAGCCATGAGAATATACGGGGAAAATGCAATCCAGGTGGTCAGGGTAACTGGGACAGTAATGAAGGTGTCGGAGGCTAACACAGGAGATAAAATCAGGGAGGTTAAAGGAAGTCAGACTGTATAGGGTCTTTTGGCTAAACTAAGGACTTTCTTTGGCTTTTATCAAGAGTAGGATAGGAAAGTGTTGGAAAATATGAGCATCAGGGTATCATGACATGGTTTGCTATGAGGACTGCTAGGGCTGTTGTGCTGAGAATATCTGAAGGGCAAGGGAAAGGACTAGTGAAGATGCCACAATAACCTTGCCAAGAGATGGTGGCTCCTGAAAGACTATGGATCTATGGGGATGGAAGATAAAATTTCAGGTTTGACAGTTGCATTGAGAGTTTAAGGGGTGGGGGGGTGGGGTCTGGGCTAGGAGTTAGAAGTTGAAACTCAACTGGTATTTATTACGGAGATGGAGTCCTAGCTCTACTACATTCTGGTGGCAAACTTGAGTAAACTTTTTTTAGGTTCTAGGCCTCAGTTTCCCTAACAGTAAAACGGAGAAAATATTCCCACGTAACGGGCCTTCAAGAGAACTATTTCGAAGTGTCAAAGGCTGATGGTGAGCAAGGTGAGAACCTGCACGAACCTGTATCAGAGTAAGGGGGCTACTGTGAAACCAGCGACTAACTTTCAGCTCCACGGAACACGCTCCGAGGCTCACCAGCGATCAAAGGGAAGCACCAAGGCCCGCATTGCAACGCGGGCTGCAGCTCCCAAACCTCGCGAGACTTGTTGGCCCGGCAAAGTCACCCTCCTACCCACATCTCGCGAGACCAAGGTTTATGAGCGGCTATCTGCCGGTTACGGCTTGCAGGAAAGATGGAGTATACTGCGTTGGGCACCGTGGAGGCCGCGGACAGCGGAGGGGCCCTGCCATACACCAGCTCGGAGGAGCGAGAAGGCCGGGAACCGGACGGACTGCGCTTCGACCGCGAGAGGGCGCGCCGCCTGTGGGAAGCAGTGTCCGGGGCCCAACCAGTGGGGAGGGAGGAAGGTGAGTCCGCGGACCTCAGAGGCAGTAAGTCCCTCGCCCACCCGCTCGTTTCGCTGGGAGCGGAGGAAGCGCGGGTTGGGAATGCGGGACTGCCCCCGGGTCTCCGGTCACACCCCCTGGCGCCCGGCCCGCCCCCTTGCGTGACGCGCCCGGGACTCCTTGACTCGTGCAGCCCAGCAGGGCCTGGGTACCGTGGGCTAGCTCCACGGAAAATTGAGGCCGCCGCACCCAGCGAATGAGGTCTCCGCTCTCCAGTAGTCAAGGGCCTTCTCATGCTCACACCGTTGGGGGTGGGGGTTCCCCCGCCTTTCTCATCCACCAGAGCGCAGCTCTTCCCTAAACTCGATGACTGTAATTCCTATCCGTGCCTTCCCGGAGACCCACAGAACCTTCTCCGCCAGACTGCTATCCCCCCACCATTTTCCCCTGACTCTCCATTGCCCCAGTCTCCAAGTTCCCCCACCCCTAGTGTATCTTGCCTCTCTTCTCTCATGCCCCACACTTGCAAGAACTCCAGAAGGCCTTCTTACCCCATGTTCTTCCTGGCCTTGGTGACTGAACCTGGTTTATCCCTGTTTCTATTTGTCGAGTTTCTACTACCTGGGTCCTTTTTATGCGATGGGGGCCAGGAGCCTGAAAAACTGGCCAGGGTATACTTTGGGTCCAACTTCTTTGTATCCTAGGCTTGTCCCGAAGTTGTGAAGAACAGGGTACACTGGGGGGCACTTCTGGGCTGAAGCTTCCTAGCTTGCTCTGCATTTGACCTGGCACTGGGTAAGATGGAGATAGAGGAGGATGGAAAGGGCTGGCCTGACCTGGTTGCGTGACTCCCTTCATGGTCCTTACCACTAGCTGCTTAACTCCAGTCCAGAAGTACAAGAACCGTCTGGCCTTCTGTGCTAATCCTGTCAAGTAATCTCGGAAATCAGAAGGTTTGTTTGTTTGCTGAGCAGACTAATCATGGAAAGTTTAATATGTTGCTTGTGAACTGATTGTCCTGGGATAAAATGGACTTTTTGACCACATCCAAAGAAGATATGTTTAAATTTGGGGTCTGTGGTACATAGACCTATACCCTTGTATGTACTTCTCCAGTTTGAAAACTAGTCTAGTCTGACTCCTACTAAATTAATATGGGCCTTCTGTCTCCCTCATAATTTCAAACTTGTTTGGTACAAATCCCCCCAAATGCACCCCAATTTTCCTTTCACTAATTTGACAATCATTGATGTATGCTCAGTTCCTAGGACTGGCTGGGCATCAGAGCTACAGAGATGAGGAAGATACTGTCCTTCCCCCTGGGAGGGGTTTATAGTCTAGTCCAGGAAGCAGACACCAAAACAGTTTCAGTATAATGTAATGGGTGCAGTAAAGAGGAATGTGTAAGAATTGGTCGTGCACAAAGAGGAAGTGACCTTTGTCCTTGAGGGACAGGGAAGGCATCTGCTGGACCTTGAAGCAGAGAACACAGCAGCTGTGCTCTAAAAAGTGAATTGCTTATGTGTGTATGAATGTACAATGTCACTTAGGACCCAGTTCATTTCCCTACTGTCCTCACTTTCCAGTATTTATATGAGGTCTAGATAGATATCTGTAACACCAGGTTCTACTCATCTTGGTTTTTGTTTTGTTTTTCTCTTAGCACTTTTATTGAGTTATAATTTATATACCATAAAATTCAGCCATTCTAACTGTACAATGCAATGATTTTTTGCTAAAAGTATAGAGTTGTGTAGCCACAATTCTGTTTTTGAATATTTCCGTCACTCCAGTTAGTTCCTTTCTGCTTCTTTACATTAAATCTCCACTCTTACCTCCTGCCCTGGGCTACCACTGTCTCTAAAATTTGCCTTTTCTGAACATTTCATATAAATAAAATCATACAATATGAATGCATTTGGCTTCTCTCAGCATGTTTTTGAGGTTCAGCCACGTTGTACCGTGCATTCATTATGTGCTTCATTATGTTTTGTTGCTAATAGAATCCCATTGTATAGATCTTGCTTTTTATCCTTTGACAGTCTCTGGCTTTTGAGTGGGCTGTTTAGACTGTTTGCATTTAATTTAATTATTGATAATGGCTAGATTTACATTTTCTATTTTGCTATTTATCTCCTTTTCATTTTGTTCTTCCTTTTCTCCTTTACTGACTTCCTTTGTGGTTAGTATTTTTTAGTGGACCATTTTACTTCCTCTGTCAATTTTTTATACTTTTTTTTTTAATGTATTTATTTTTGAGAAAGAGAGCACAAGCAGAGAAGGGGCAGAGTGAGAAGGAGACAGGATCTGAAGCAGGCTTTGTGCTGATAGCAGAGCCCAGTGTGGGGCTCAAATCCATGAACCGTGAGATTGTGACCTAAGCTGAAGTCAGACTCTCAACCAAGACACCCAGGTGCCCTTTTTTTTTTTTTTTTTTTTTTTTACTTTTTAATTGTATTTTCTTAGTGTTCGAGGGACTATATGATGCATCTTAACTCATCACAGTCTACTTCAAATTAATACTAACTTAAATCTGATAAAATGTATAAAAACATTCCTCTAATAGTGCTCCATTCCTCACCCTCCTTTGTACTATTATTGTCATATTTGTTACATTGATATATGTTATAAACCTAATTATTCAGTGTCATAATTATTGATTTATACAACATCTCTTCTAAAGAAGTGAAGAGAAGTTATTAAAAAAAGTATATTTGTGGGGCACCTGGTTGGCTCAGTCAGTTAACCCTCCGACTTCAGCTCAGGTCATGATCTCACAGTTTGTGGATTTGAGTGCCTCATCTGGCTCTGTGCTGACAGCTCAGAGCCTGGAGCCTGCTTTGGATTCTGTGTCTCCCTCTTTATCTACCCCTCCCCTACTCACACTCTGTCTCTCTCTCTCTTTCAAAAAAAACATTAAAAAATTTTTTGGGGGGGCGCCTGGGTGGCTCGGTCGGTTAAGCGTCCGACTTCGGCTCAGGTCATGATCTCACGGTCCGTGAGTTCGAGCCCCGCGTCGGGCTCTGGGCTGATGGCTCGGAACCTGGAGCCTGCTTCAGATTCTGTGTCTCCCTCCCTCTCTGCTCCGCCCCTGTTCATGCTCTGTCTCTCTCTGTCTTAAAAATAAACATTAGGGGCGCCTGGGTGGCGCAGTCGGTTAAGCATCCGACTTCAGCCGGGTCACGATCTCGCGGTCCGTGAGTTCGAGCCCCGCGTCGGGCTCTGGGCTGATGGCTCGGAGCCTGGAACCTGTTTCCGATTCTGTGTCTCCCTCTCTCTCTGCCCCTCCCCTGTTCATGCTGTGTCTCTCTCTGTCCCAAAAATAAATAAAAAACGTTGAAAAAAAAATTTAAAAAAAAATAAATAAAAAAAAATAAACATTAAAAATTTAAAGAAAAAAAAAATTTTTTTGGGGGGTGGGCGCCTGGATGGCTCAGTCAGTTAAGCATCCAACTTCAGCTCAGATCATGAACTCGCGTTTCGTGAGTTCAAGTGCCGTGTTGGACTCTGTGCTGACAGCCAGAGCCTGGAGCCTGCTTCAGATTCTGTGTCTCCCTCTGTCTCTGCCTCTACCCTTCCCCTATACTCTGTCTCTCTCTTTCTTAAAAGTAAATAAAGATTAAAAAAATTTTTTATTGATTTTATTTATTGATTTTATTTAAAGATTTAAAAAATATTAAAAAAATATTTATAATGTCTTTTATATTAGCATACATATTTACCATTTCTGGTGTTCTTTTTTCTTCTTCCGGATTCATTACCACTTAGTACCACTTCCTTTCAGCTAGCAGGGCTTTCTTTAGTATTTCTTGCAAGGCAAACCTGCTAACAGTGAATTCTCTCAGTCTTTATCTGGGAATGTCTTTATTGTGTTTTCAGTCTTAAAGTATATATATATATTTTTTTTTATTATTAAAAAATTTTTTTTAATGTTTATTTATTTTTGAGAGGGGGGGGAGACAGAGTGTGAGCAGGGGAGGGGCAGAGAGAGAGGGAGACACAGAATCTGAAGCAGGTTCCAGGCTCTGAGCTGTCAGCACAGACCCCGACACCAGACTCAAACTCACAAACCGCGAGATCATGACCTGAGCCAAAGTCGGACGCTCAGCCACTGAGCCGCCCAGGCGCCCCAAAGTATATATTTTTTAAAATAACATCTTTATTGATACATAATTCATATACCATAAAATGCATCTTTGTAAAATATATAATTTAGTGGTTTTTAGTATATTCACAGAATTGTACAACCATGACCACTATCTAATTTTAGAACATTTTCATCACCCCGGAAAGAAACCCTACACCCATTAGCAGTCACCTCTGACAATTGTTTATCTCCTTTCTGTTTCTATAGATTTGCTTATTCTGGATGTTTCATGTAAATTGAATTGTATAATATGTGGCCTTTTGTGACTGGCTTCTGTCACTTAGCATACTGTTTGAAGGATAGTTTTACTGGACATGGAATTATTAGTTGACAGTGTTGATCTTTCTCACTACTTTGAATATGTTATTCCACTGCTCTCTGGCTTTCATTGTTACAGATAAGAAGTAAGTCATTAATCAAATTATTCCACTGTACAGGATGAGTCATCTTTCTCTTGCTGCTTTACAGAGTTTCTATCTTCCAGTAGCTTGACTATGATGTATCTAGGTGTAGATCTCTTGGTATTTATCATATTTTGAGTACCTTGAGGCTTTTAGCTGTATGGATTAATGTTTTTCTTTGATCAAATATGGGAAGTTTTCAGACATTGTTTCTTAAAACATGTGGGGTTTTTTCCTATTCCTTTCTCTTCTTCTGAGACTCCCCATATATATGTTTGGTATGTATTTGTTTGGTATGCTTGATGTATCCCACATGTATCTGTGGCTCTGTTCATTATCAATTTTCTTTTTCTCTTTTCTTCAGTTTGAGTATTTCTGTTGATTTATCTGCAAGTTCACTGATTCTTCTGCTACTTAGAAACTGATACTGATTTTTTCTAGTGTTTTTTTCATTTCATTTATTGTGCTTTCAG